TCAGCAGGGATGGGCGAGAGATAGCCAAGACGACAAAAATCCAGACTTCCAGGCTACTGCACGTTGCGTGTTGGATTTCTCAAGCCCAATCAGCCAAAGGTTTCTGGAGATGTTCGACGGTGCAGGAAATACACCAGTTCATGAAGCAGTCCGCTCTGGCTACCCTGAATTGCTGAGGCTATTGCTTGAGTATCGTCCTGACTTGCTGTTCCGTGAAAATGCTGTGGGAAGTACGCCTCTTGAGCTCGCAACCGACAGCTGGGTGACACACGTAACTTCGGCCTGCCCTCCAATAGAGAGAGGAGACCGAACTCGAGAGGGAGCTCAGAATCCCGAGATGACTTGTGTCCTTGAGCGTTCGACGGGGACCTTTGATCCGAACTACCGCGCGCCAGAACATCCGAAGAACGCCGTTTACAGAATTGCTCGTGAGTCAGCTGCTCGCCACCCAGCTAAGAGACGGTTGGTGAGTTTGAACGAGGCCACGGAGGTGACAAAGCGACTGGCGTTGCGAGGCGAGCAGGGGACGAGAGTTTCGAGTCAGGATCAAGATGAGTATGATGAGGTTACTTATTGGCACAAGAATGGAGGCCCAAAGCATTATGGGGCCTTCTACTATAATGATTGAGAGGCGGAGTGGTGGATGCGGGCATGGGCATTGGATGAGGAGGCCCACGGTTCAGAATCATGTTGTTCTTCATACGGTCCTTGTCATCGGGCTCGTGATCCGAGCATAAATGAATGAGCTTTTTCTATCTCTTCAGCTTCGAGGTGTCGATCTTGGCAAACATGATTACAACATATGTGTTATGTCTTCATCTCCTCGAAGCAGATCTTGTCAATGTGCTTTAGGTGCGCTCCCTAAGAGTCAGATCAAATTTGTGTCACAGGATGATGTCGTATAGCTAGCGCATCGTCAATTCCCTAAATAGCACGCAGCTCCTTCCCATTATACGTCCAGGGTGAGCCCGTCCTAGATATTCGCGGCGTTAGTCTGCCAGCTCGTTGTCAGCAATCTAGTTTTATTCCATGCTCTGTATAGTCGAGCACAACATCATATCAACCGCAGAGCATTATAAACTTGTGCAGTCTAATATTCTAATTCTAAATAGGACTGTGACCTTCAGGTCTATAGATACGGATGCACCTTTGTGTGTGCTTTTCACAGAGAGTCTTTTTTGGAGCAATGGCTGGATGTTCCCCGCCACAATGAATCTCTCTAGTGCGTATGCTTCGAACCCAGATGCTCCCTGTTTGTATGCGAAGCAGCGACGGAACCGTGGCGGATCGTTCTTGGCGTCGTTGACGGAGCGCAGAGAGAGCGGTAGGTAGGTCTTTGGGAGTATACACGAAAGAATGTGGGTGACTGCGATGGACAAGTATAAGGCAGAAGAAGCGATGCGCGAGGGCCAAGGGTAGATGGGCCTTTGGCCTGTATAGTAAGTGGCTCCACGAGGATAGGTCAAATCTCGGACATCGAGATGTTCGAAGACCGGAGAAGAGGGCACTAAGATATCCGGTTGGCGCGGGCTGGGCGAAGCTGGCACGAGCTTTATGAAACGGCTTCCGAGGTCGGGGCTTGTTGACTTCACTTTGAGTGCTTGACCTCTTCTGTGGGGAAGGTCGTTGTGGGAGACCTCAGGCAGCTCGGGGCAACGCTGGGAGTAATTTATGGGTTGCTTGGCGTCCTGTATCTGTAAAGAGTAAGGGGACTTGGTAGAAAGAGCTACAGCATCACGTGATGACAGTCTATGTGGTACCGCTACTGACGACCTGAATGCCTCAAAGTGTTACGCCTCACTTGGCAGTACTGGGAGCCGAATCGGCACTCTCTGTTATCGATTTCAGTCAGCAGCTTGCTACGATAATCCCGGTCTCAGACTGAGAGATGTAACTATTCACATGGTGACGTTGAAGCGACTTTGGCAAATTGAGAGAATTCGATAAGCAGAATTATCCTGCAACAGCGAGCGTCTTCGCCGATACTATGACGCACGCTCTCTGTGGAACAAGTCCTGTCCATTTTACCGAACCGGCGAACCCACCATGCTCAAGCTCCGACCTGTGGGTAGCTACTCGAAAATTTCATACTTGAAGTGGCTGCTGTCGAATCCCAAGTTTGGCTCCAGGACCTCATCAAACACCGGGATTGGGTCATTTATCGCAGGCTCAGGCGTTCGGACAGCGGTGATGACATGGTTCGTGAGCACACGCGAGCGGAAGCCTGCCTCGCAGTAGGTGAAATAATACTAGATTCCATCAATGGTCACGCCCACTGCAGCGCTGCGAGAGAATAGGTACTTACCACCCACACCCGTCGGAAAGCCTCAATCTCATTCTCGGTCGCTTCGGGGTGTCTGTCAATGTAATCCTTGCGGATGAGGTCCCAATTCTCAAGGAAGTTCTCTCGCCAAGTCACCAGGGTCTTGATATAGCTCGGCCCGATGCTTTGTAGAGAGTCAAGCTCTAACGTGCCATTCGACCCGGTATGCAACGCATTCAGGAACACATTCGTGGAACAAAGGTACCCGCCGGGGAAAATATATCGATCGGTGAAGGTGGTAATACCGGGCTTGTTATCATGCATCTGCCCATCCCTTCGCATCAGCTATACGTCGCAAAACAGTTTGAAGAGACACACTCACCATGTTGTTCGTCGTGATCGCCTGCATCACGAGAATACCTCCCTCAGGCTTCAGAAGCCGAGAGATCGTCCCGAAAAATCCATCCATGTATTTTTTCCCGACATGCTCTACCATCTCCACCGACACGATGCGGTCATACCCGCCTGCCGGCATTGGCGCATTTCGGTAATCACACAGCAGGATTGTGATCTTATCTTCTAGCCCGGCAGCCTTGATACGCTTCTCAGCCAGCGCCTTCTGCTCCGACGCAAGGGTGATGCCCGTCACGCGGCACCCGATCAGCCGGGCGGCCTCAATTGCCAGACTTCCCCAACCGCATCCGATGTCGAGAATGTGGTCCGTTGGGGCGATGCGGGCTTTCTGTAAGATGTTGTGTACGCTGCGGATCTGCGCAGCCTCGAGGGTCTCATGGGGATTGTTCGACCACCATCCGTTCGAGTAGTTCATGTCTGGGGAAAGGAGGGCGGCGAAGAGGGCATTGGAGGTATCATAGTGGAATGTCACGTTTGAGCGGGAGTGTGCGAGAGTGTTCGTTGGGGTAAAGAGTAGGTGGCGGAGGCGGGGAAGAAAACTGAGGAGACGGTTACCAAAGCCTAGCCTGGTACGGTTGCGGAGGTAAAGCTGGGTCTACGTTAGACACTAGCCTTGCTGCTGAGGGTATGGGAGACCTGGGTTGGGATTCTAACCTGGAACACATGACGGAGGTCGTCACATTCAAGCTCTTGGTAGATGTATGCTTCCGCGAAACCCTGGAAAAGGATTAGATCGTCCTGAGATGGTGAAAGATCATCTTACCAAATCAAAAGCCTGGCAGATGCGAACCCAAGCGTTATGATCCAAGATCACGATTTGTACACCTTTGTCCGCTGACTTGGGTCCGAAGACAACGGTTTCTGGCTCCTTGGCGTGACAGTTGATCACTACTGTCAACCGCTCTTGATGCTCAATGCTGGCCAAAGCCTGCAGAACAAATGATTGAGAGTATGACTGGATCAGGCCTTCGAACATCGTGGTGATTAAGAGCGAGTGAATTCTTTCTGGTGTGCACTATTACCGTGAAAGCGACACTGTTGCCCATTGATCGGGGTTAAGTAGTTGTCGCTGGTTAATTGAGACCACACAGTACAGTCTTGCAAATCATTCAGTCTGCTTGTCTCCCCATTTTTGGAGGGTTCAAAGCCCAAAGCCCAAGCAAATCAGGGAGCTGTTTGATTGGTGCATATTGGAATGGATAGCGAAGCGAACGTCGATGCGCAAGCCACAAAGCGGCCTGACAGCTTCGCTGGCTCGTATAGGGAGTGATTGCAGGACAGCTCGGTTCAGCTTGCTGCATGTCTCACTATATGAGCTTTCCCTTACTGGAGCCTTGTTAGCAACCTTTTGAAAAGCTCTATGTGTGAAATTTGAGAATCTGAGCTTGGAAATTCCGGGGCATTCGGCTCACCCACTCACCGCAAGGCAAATTGGCGACATGGCTGGCTGAAGTCTGCAGCTTGACGCACAAACGCATTCAAGCTAGATCGAGCTGTCTTGACTGCCTGAGTCGAGCATGTGATTAACAACATTCAGCTGCGGCCTAAGCGAAGGAAGTCACAAATCATAGTTAATCGAAGCGAGGAGATATGAGAGGGGTCCGAATCAGTCGAGCATAACGTTATGAAGAGTTTGTGCATTGCGGAGGTTCCAATTCCCTTAGGCAACAAAGCTGGACCGTGCCTTGCCGCTTTGGGCCATTGACTCGTGCTCGTATTCACTTTCCCGAAACGCATCAAGTTCTCAATTTTGAAGTCTTCACCTACCTTTTGAAGTTCATCGCTGACTTAACCAACGCCTGAAAGACAATCTGTATCTAGTCTGATTCTAAGACTCAGATTTGGCCTGTACAGTTCTGATTGCAGAATCCATGGCGTTGTCTCAAGCTCATTCGCAAGACCACTCCGCAGGATTTGGACAACCTATTGCGTTGGGCCCATGCATCAAGAGAGTATTCTCTAGCATTGAGAAGATCAGGCCCATGATCTTATCCCGGTCGCAAGTCCCAGCATACAGGTACTGAAATGGCCCTTTCCTAACACCTTGTGGCAGGTTTCCGTACTCTCATCCTACTCCATTCGGCATCAACGCCGTATCCGTATCTTGCAGCCAAGGCACGGTCGATCAACAGCCTATTCCACACCAGGGTGGAACCCGATGATGTGCACTAGAGACATCCAAAACACGATGAGCAGCAGTTTTGGAGGGCCACAATCCAAAGCGCTAAACATACCTAGAAGCTACAGAATAGCTATAAAGCGTCCTGCCCTGTCTCGTCCAGGCAATCTAACGACATTAAAAATGCTACCCCTGATCTTCTGGTCCGCGCTTTGCCTTACCACGCCTGCAATGGCAGGCAGGTGCAAAAACCACCCTCTTGGGGTGACATGGCCTTCTGAGGCGGACTGGTTGTCTTTGAACGCATCCATTGGCGGTCATCTGCTTCGCACAGTTCCCGTTGCTGCCTCCTGCTGGCCTAACAGCACCTTCGAGTCCCACATCTCATGCAATACAGTTCAGTCACAGTGGACCAACTCGCTCTGGCATGCAAGCCAGCCGGACTCCATTGACTACCCTATCTACGCGAACAATTCTTGCCTACCGCCAAACGTGACAGGTTATGTACATGACCGGGACTGTACAACCGGGGGACTGCCGGCATACATTGTCAACGCCACAACGGAGACTCAGATTGCGACGGCAATGAAGTGGGCTGCCGACCGCAACATCCGCATAGTTATTAAAGGCACTGGGCATGATTTGAATGGACGGTAAAGTGAACGCTTCGCCTTGGGTCACACGTCAGTACTAATATATGTTTCCATGGTTAGGTCAAGCGGTGCCTTTGCTCTGTCAATCTGGACTCACCATCTCCGCAAGTTGCAGCGCGATATCTCATGGAAACATCCAACCAAGAATACCACGGAGGATGTATACATCATTGGCAGTGGCCAACAGTGGGGCAATGTGCTCGAATACGCGCTCGCTGAGGGCCGAGTAGTCACCACCGGCCAAGACCCCAGCGTCGGACTTGGTGGCTACATTCAAGGAGGTGGACACGGTCCATTGTCCCAAACCTACGGTCTCGCTGCTAGCCACGTACTGCAGATGCGCGTCGTCACCACCCAGGGAGAAATACTGGTAGTCAACCATGCGCAACACCAGGACCTGTTCTGGGCGCTGCGCGGCGGCGGGCCGGGTCTGTATGGTGTGGTCACAGAATATGTGCTGCGACATCATCCGGCTCCGAGCAACGTGACTATGGGAAACCTTTTGATCGCCCCAGGAGCCGACCGCAACAATATCAGCGCCGAGAAATCTTGGGAAGCAGCCGTGTCGTACCTCCAGGCACTTCCGGATCTGATGGATGCCGGTCTAGCAGGGGCATGTATGATGTCAACTGGCGAGGCGGCGGTGCGGTTTGCCTCCCTCTCTGAAGCTACCACCGGCGTGGTCATCTCGCAAGTCTTCTGGTCTTTCAACTCTACCTCATCCGCCATGGAAGCCTTGGTCCGTCCGGTCCTCACTCGAATTGGACGTGAATCGACAACGGACAGTGGCAGTAGTGCAGTGACTATCACTTTCAGCACTTCCAATGTTGCAAACTACACCTCCTTCATCTCCGCCATCTCTGGTAGCAGCGCAGCCGGCAGCCAGAGCGTTATATCGAGTCGCCTCCTGGGCCGTCGCGAGCTCCTCGACACGGCGCGCACAGACATGACCAGCTATCTCAAAACCGCGCTTCAAGCGCAGAACGCGACCGTGGGAACCTTCGCGACTATCGGTTTACAAGGCGGCCCGGGAGTGCAACAGACCCCTCCAGGGGACTGGGGCTCTCCGAAGCGGGCGCTACAAGACGCCGCTCGATGGTACGAGGCCAAGGAGCACATGTGGCAGCTGTGGGCGCCGGAGTCGGGGGCGTACATGAATGAGGCTAATCCATTTGATCCTGAGTTCAAGCATGACTTCTACGGGGCAAACTATGACCGGTTGCTGCAGGTCAAGGCCAAGTACGATCCGACTGAGAGCTTGTTTGTTCTGGCTGGTGTGGGAAGCGATCGGTGGGATTATGATCTAGATAGTGGTCGACTCTGCAGGGTGAATTGAACGGGTCTCTATCTTCCGAGAATCGTTCACGGTATGGGTTGTTTCTTGTACAGTTTGTCTGCGGACTCAATGCAAATGACCAATGTTCTATGGGGTTGTGAGGAACATTTAGCTTGGGCATGCTGCTGACTTCGGGCAGTTTCTTCCCAATGCGGTTGATTAATAACTAACATATGTAGGATTAGTCAGAAGTACTGTACATCTAAGGCATCAATCATCAAATATTCAGTCTATACAGGCACTTTCCCCTCACCGGCTCCTTCCTTCTCTATTGAGGAAGGCAAAACCTCGATTTCCTGCTGTTTCTCCAGCATCGACTGCCTCATGAACGGACTCCGCGCGCGAATCTCCCTCCCCCAGATCAGCACCAAAACCGGCGCAAAGGCCAAGGCCAGCGAAATCAGAGCCAGCAGAGTGCTCGCCCACTGGAAGCGCAAGGTATTGTACATACTCTGCGCCGCGAGCGGCAGGAACGCGGAGAAGATATTCTCGCCCAGCGCCACGGTGGCGACCGCACTCCCGGCCCAGTAACTGTACGCATCAACGACATAGTCCGCAATGCCGCACACGACCGTCACACTCCCGGCCCCGACCATGGCCAGCCCTACCGCAGGCGCAACCCACGGGATATTCGGGTACGAGGTCCAGGCATACGTGAACATCCCGCCCGCAATGCCCAGGATGCCGCCCGCCACGGCCGTGTACAGACGCGCCTCGGGGATGGGGGCGCCGGGGATCTCCGTGTTGCGACGCGCGGAGTCAAAGTACAGTTTCGCGGAGTAAAAGCACGTGGTCCAGCCGAGACATTGGCCAACGACGATTGCGGCCTGGACGTAGCCGGCCTGCACAGCGTTCCAGCCGTATAATCCGCTGAAAACCTGCTCCACGGTCTGGGTGAAGAGGTAAAGCGTCCCGACGGTGAAGGCGGACCACAGTGTCGAGACGAAAATCACCGACTCAGTACACAGCAGCTGCAGGGGTCGCTTGATACTGGCCAGGAGCATTTGGTGGCTGGGTTGTTTGTTTAATTCCTCGCGTGCGTACACATTTTGGCCTTTGGCGCGGAGGTGGCGCGCGCGTTGGGCAAGGATGACGGCGCCCCGGGACTCTCGGAAAAGGAAATAATAAATCGGAAAGAGAGCGCCGAACCAAATCACCTGAAGGTAGGAGATCCAGCGCCAGGACAGGTGTTGGAGGATCGCGGCGCCGATAACGGGACCGATGCTGCTTCCAGAGAGATATGCGAGGATATACAGGCTTACGGGCATGTTGCGCTCGCGTTCGTCTCTCCAGACATTGCCGATAACCGAGGCGACGGTGTTGGCGAGGATCATCACGCACCCGCCGCAGAAGAATCGGGTGATGATCAGGGTGGCGAAGTTGTGGGCCAGCCCCTGGGGAATTATGAAGCAGAGGAAGATCAGGTACGTGCCTAGAAAGCAGCGCCGGATACCAAAGTCCTCCATGACGGGGAGAATAAGGAGGGAAAAGAATGCACCGCCGATAGTCCATGAGGTGACGGGCCAGTACGAGTGCGGGAAGCTTGCATCGCTGATCCCGAACTCCTCGTTTATTTGTTCATGGGCGACGGTGATAATGGTTCCATTCATGAGTGTTGTGAACGTCGTGAACAAGGGGATCGCTGTTACAATCCATTTTCGATGAAGGGGCCAATTGAGAGGGTTGCCTGGGTCATCAGATCCTTCCCACTCTAGAACGACGACGTCCGACTCTTGTGAGCTAGCTGGTCATGACGGTCAGTATTGGGCCATTAGTCGGAGTGGAGGCTTCACTTACCGGAAGGCGTTCTTTCAAGGTCAGCGGTGGCCATTGTCATCATACAATACACACGATGCAGTGACCTCCTTCTATCCGAGTGTGATTATATATGCGAGGATGGTGAATCCTAGTGGCTTCGAGTCGGGCTCGTGAGCGGCCGCAAACGGAATTGATAGTGGTGAGCGAGTGCAGAATAACAGAAGGGAGGAAGTTCGGAGAATACATTGGGGTCGCCAGATTTATGTGAGAAGAACAATCGCCCCGTCAACGCTTCGGCAGGCGCGCCTCCAAGCTGAGATGAAGATCTGAACTCGGACAAGGCTAGACTTTTGCCTTCATGGACTTTCGACGGAGACTCGGAGAGAGACTTGGGAGGCTCCACCCGCTGTTAGTTAGTTCTCAAGTCACCTGCCGCATTCGGGTTAGTCGATCGCTCTCAGCCCTTCCATCCCCCCGAATTTCTTGTTTTGGTCTCTGGAGATTTGATCCATTCAGACTACCTTATCATCGCAAGTGGTGGTACCTTTCGTGTTAGCTGATTTCTTCGGCTGAATCCGCGGAGCGGAAGCGAAATTTCTTGCAGCTCTTCAGTCTTCAGTTGCGCATATGTATGTATGTCAATTTCCGATACATCCAATCGACCATACCGCCACTCTTCCTCCGAGCTTACAGACAAGCTGCGAGATCATGTCATTTGCATGTCATCCTGCTGAGAGAAACGGCATGCAGCCTGGAATTCACCGAACCTTGTCGTGGCTAAGCAGGGTTCACCATTCGATAATAAATGATATGTTAATATCTACTTCTCGTATCGGCTTGAGACCGAAGAGTCAGCTGGCGCAAGTCGGACTGGAAAAGGCTAGCGGGAACCTTGAACGAGCTGTTCTTTTTTTCTCGCTTCCGCCTCTCCTTCAGTTCTCTCCATTGAATTGCCTCGATCCAGCAGGTCGTAAGCGGGTTAGCCGAGGTGGGTCTGGGACTTTTCCGCTCCTAGCGGGCGTTTAGCGCGCTCTTCCCCCTCGTGCACTCGAACAATCCCATTGTGCGGGTGTGACAACCGCCTCTTCCCGGCCTTCGAATGGTACATAACATACTCATTTCTAATCAGTTTACATCATGGGTACTACGTCTTCGATATTGATCAGCTTTTTTCTTGCCACTGCCACTAGACATAGTTCAAAAGTTGCTCCTGTTTCATGAAGGGACTTCATTCTCGCCGATTCTCGGGGAATCAGCTGTACCTGATCACGGGAACCGCGCAGCGACAACGCATCCGCATCCACCCCACTATGACCTGATCAATTGTGCGCATATCGCGGAAAATTCCAGCGCTCTCATCATGCAGGGTGCTTAATCATTTGTAACCGTCGATGTCTCGACTTTCCCCACTACATGCAACCTGTTACTACACCGATAAAATGTGTTGGCAGCACGCTTGCTCGCAAATCCGGGCGCCTCGGTTTGTCAAGGCTCAATTCTCGAACCCCACAAACATCAATAAGGGACAAGTCAAGCGGGCGGTTAACGGACCCCTGGAACCGGATCCAGATCTTACATTGCTTAACTCAATCTCGGTCCGACGATCGGGTGCGACCGTCGGCGACGAGGGTCTCGTCGATCTCGTGCATAACCAGTCTGCAGGCCTGCAGTTTAGGAGAAGCCATTTAACCTATTTAATGTAATGGAAATAGTACCGGTTCCTCTTGCGGATTCATGCAGGCTATTCTAGACCACCGCAGGCACTACCCGCAAGAGCCGACCGGTGTACTATTCTCCGTACGAAGCACAATCGTTGTGAACACTGTCTTCTTGTATTATGTGTATTATGGGAACCCAGTATACAGCCGTCATCAATTATTCACTTTCAAGGTGCTAAATCACTACCTTGCCATCCATCCACAAATCTCTAGCTTCAGATATCAATGCCAGACCATCCCAAGTCTCTGAAAGAAACCAAACAGAGATCCCTTCGGCACATATCCCGCATACCGACTTTGCCACCACGCGGCAAATGACCCTTCCACCGGGCCCAACTCGGCAAATCCAAGCACCTCAAGCACCCACGGCATGAGTGCCACCAACACTCCCAGGGCCAGGATGGTTGTATACACGGGGTGTTCTTGTGCGAACTCGAAGGCTTCCTCGGAGGCGCGTCGCAGGGCCTCGGTGGCTGCTTGGGCCATTGAGGCGTTTTGTTCGATCGCGTTAACCAGGCCCGCGAGGACGCCGCGGGCGAGGTAATCGGTCCAGCCAGTTGGGTGAATGAGCTCGCTGGTGGATTTCTGTATCTCGGGGACGGTCGGGGTGGTGAGGAGTATGGTGAGGAGCTCCGAGTCTTGTGGGGGCGAGGTAGGAGGTGTGCTGGTTTGAGCAGATGCACGTGCACGCTTGGTAGGGACCAGGCAGTTGAGCATAGAGAAGGTGACGCCCATTCTGACGCGCAGCCGGATATGATAAAGGTGATGGAATTAAGATGGTAATCAATGAGCTTGGTGATTATGAAGAAAGGTTATTGGCGGGAGAAATTCGGGGGATGGGAGGTGGAAGGTGGATGAAGATTGCTGCGATCAGACAAGGAGAGGTACTTATACCGTGTCTCCGCCATTCACTTCCCCTGTCTCACATACACTGCGTTTGCATGGCAAACAAAGCTTCATCAACGCATTGCCGCAGCAGCAGGATTAGCTTACTTCCGGTGGCACAGGAGTTACCGCAGCTATTGATTCGTTATACCTCACTCATCGGCTTCTGAGGTAACTTGTGACGGGCGCTTACAGCCACTAAGCCCGGTCATACAAGGCCAACGGGGCGGAGTTGCAGCAGGTGGCGCGTACCAGATTGGGGCACAACATCCAACCCCATTTTGAACTATCTCCATTGTGTGTTAAGGCAGACATATAGGCTCAATTAGACGAGGTTTTATTGACTAAAATTGATAGCAAGACATTGCCACCGTCCTCCTGCATGCAAAGCCGATCCACGCTCTATCGACAATCGGCACCACCACCAAACTCCACGCGGTGCTTTTTGGTCTCCTTACGCGTAATTGGAGATCCTACACCATGTTACTAATCAAGCCTGTGAACAAGAGACAAACACTTACTCAATGAAATTGCCGTCCGGGTCGCGACAATACACACTGTGGATCTTGCCTCGAGCTCCGGTGCGCTGAACGATCTCACCCCCCTCCAACAGCTCAATGCGAGCCTCCTCGAGAGCCTTCTTCACCTGACCGACTTTGATATCAGTTAGGAAGCAGAGGTCCGCACTTCCTGGTATCACATTCTGGGCCTTGGGCTCGAATTCTTTGCCGTGTTCATGAAGGTTGATTTTCTGTGAACCGAAGATGAGGCAGTGACTAAACAAAATCAGCACGAGGATTCATTCAGGCTAGATGTAGTCTATTGGTAGACCAGACCGTTGGACGTCCGGACTGCTCGGAGAGGTGAAGATCTCATGTCGCATTCCGATGTGGGAGGTGTAGAAGGCCACCGTCGTAGGGATGGACCGCACCGTCAGCACCAGGTGGTCGAGGGACTTGATGGCGAATCTAGCTGTCGTTCTGGTGCTTGGTCATTCGATAGACAGGTTGTGAAATCAGAGTCTGGGGGACGTGGTAGTGCACGTTATGTTGCTTCGGTAGTCATCTCCGAGGTGGGGAAAGAAATGTCCGGCAGGACGGCAGGACGCCGAGCGGAATTGAAAATACACTTAGCTCTATGGCGTCATAAGATCCATTCGACTATCTATTGTAATGTCTGGTCCGTGAGCATGTCTCAATGAGATGATTGACTAGATGCTCGCAGTGCCTTTCTGGCACATTTCTAAATAGTCTCATTCGGCCTACATGACCGAGGTCAAAACTCGAGTCGAAGAATACTAAGGATGGATGAGCTTCCATTGGCTTTCGCTGCACTAATTCGAGCTCTTTATGCTGAGCCAGGAATTGTGCACATAATTTCCGTGTAGCGAAAGACTGCGGAACACCTGCAGCAACTTTCCACAGACAACATCACCATCAATCTGACAACTCCAATAGTAGTATGCCGAGTACCCTTATCATTGCAAGGACGTCGCCTGAACCTCTTCAGATCTTTATCTGTTTATGTTGCGGGCTGATTGCAGCGCTCTTCCCGCCGTTGTTGGCGGTTAGTCCCTTTCTCACGTTCACTCATCCACGCAGATAAGCTCCTATCCACATCGTCGCGCTCAAAACATCTCAGCCTAAATACTATCCTGGTCTTCATCTTTCACTGGCAAGTTTTAGGAAGTGAGTTAGTCATGAGAGCATGAATATTGTCAGAATTACCTCTTGCTGTCTCAATGTTCTATACATATTAACCCATCGGTCCTTCCTTTAGTTGTTCTGCCTTCAATCGATCCTAGTTGCTATCTTTGTTCTGTCGCTTTCCCGAGTGCGTTCTCCTGTGGCTTGTTCCTCTGGGTTGGTCAATTAGAAATTTCAACAACTACCACAAGTCTCGTCGCGAAAGCCAACACTGTTCCTGCCTACAAATCGTCTCAGATGGAGTATCCTGATCGACGACTCGCTGATTTGACCGCAAAGACCATTGTCGGTCCCCCGACCCTCGATTTGATCACTGCAGGAGAACCTATCACCCTACATTCAGTTGGTAGAAAGAAAAAGATCAAGAACGGTTCTTTTGTACGGGGTCACAACAATTAAAGAGCATTACTAGGCTCGGTTGGAGCAAGTTCCCCATTACACTGACGCTGATGATGATACCTCTATCCTGTAGCTTGCTTTGCGTTGTATAACTCGCAGAAAGTGGGCATCTCGCCATTATGGACATGCGATGTAGTCAGTTAACGTGGCTCACCATTCACTTCCACTAGCATATTCGTCCCACTCCACACAACATGTTGGCAGATTACAAAACATCAAAATTCATGATGATGTGATCGAGCTGTCTCCAGCTGCACAACAACTCTTAGTTGACCAAGGCGCAAGGTAAGTACTTCTTTTGACTAACTATCTGCATGGCGACCATTACATAAACCTTCCATTCAGCAATCACCTCAATTTTCCAAAGAACTGCACCAGTCTCCTGCCGGCCGATGGTCTCGGCCCTCTAGATGCTGTCTTCTCGGCTACCACATGGTATGCCTGCAAAGCATTGACAGAAAATGCATGCGCTCCGCCCCACAGGAACAGCCTAAAGACACGATAGGTCTCTTCGCCCCAGCCCGCTACAATCTTATCTTTGGCCTGATCCAATCTCCTCGCCCATTCTTCCATTGTCCACCCATAATCCTTGGTCTCCTGTACCACCTCTTCCACTGCGAATCCATGCATCAAAAGTTCACCCACCACATCCTGCACTGCCATATACGTATGCGTACCACCCCAAACATACCGCCTCGTGAACGGGCTGACAGCGTACTTCTCCACCGCTGCCGAACCATTTAAGTACATCCTCCCTCCCACCTTCAGCAAATTCCACGCCCTGCTTGCAAACCGCCGATAATCAGGCAAATGCTCGATGACCCCTAAAATCACGACCGCATCGAACTCCCTTTCAGACTCCCACACCCAAAAGTCCCCGACCAGCACGTGCCCAGGCAACTGCAACCTTTGCCGCATCTTCTCAACATACCGTGCCTGATATTCGAGCAATGTCAACGTGGTAACATGTACCCCTCTGGCGCCACAGTATTCCGTGACCCCACCCCAGCCCCCACCAATATCCAGCACACGCATTCCGGCCTCCAATCGCAAGGCGGCAAACATCCGTGCGAGTTTGCGCTCGGCCGCATCCTCTATGCTTATCCTCTGTCCGTCTGTGTCCTGTTGATCGAATATTCCGTGCGTGTAGAACCGGTACCGCGTGTCGATGAATGTGAGGAACAAGTCGTCGCCGCGGCCGTAGTGCTCGTTGATTGATTGAGCGTTCATACGAGTGCCAGCACGGAAATAGTAGTCCCAGAGGAAGCGGAGACGTTGGCGCAGGGGGACTTTATCCTCAGAATCAGGCCGGGATGCGAGGAGCGTCGCTAGGTCGCCGCTTATGCTGATGGTGCCTTTGACGTAGGCCTCACCAACGGCAAGCTCGGTGATTGGGGTGCGGAGGGAGGCCGGGGTGTGGAAGGTGACGCGCCAACTTGGCCGGTGGGGCGGGTTGACGGGAACGATGGAGCCGTCAGGGAGTTCGATTTCACCGGGAGTGTTTAGCGTGGTGAGGAGAGGGGCGAGACCCGTGCGGGGAAGCTTCGCAGGTGGTTGCCCTGGGTGTTGACTGGGGTACGTCATGGTCGCTGCTGTTTATCTCAGGTGAGTTTCTAAAGGGTTTGCCGGCAAGGCAGAACGCTGGGAGTACACTTGCTACTTATATCATTTTCTTCAAGTGCTAACAAGCTCAGAAGCAAGGGGTGCAAGTCTGACATGTTCCATCCGGGTCGAGGCTGAAGGAACGCCTGCAGACGCCTATCTTGAGAATCCGACCAGTCAAAGAGGATTATCGTGACAAATCCCTGGTCCGTACCATGTCTTGGCAAACAGAGGCTCGAATCCAACACTTGTACAGCTCACATGCATTTGCGCGGCAATCAGCGCCGCCCGGTTATTCGTCCGGAAGGGTCTTCCATAGCGGTGTTGACCCACTTTCTGCAGCGCTTGTCAGAATGAATGCGAGGTCAATGTGTGGCGCGGCTGAAAATGGGAGCCGAAGGAGTGATCGGCCAGCCATTGACCATCTACAGAGCATGCTGAGGTCTTGCAAAGATACAATCACTTACCCAAATCAAAGTGTGGTTGCCTGCAGCACTCCGGCTTGTTTGCATTGTTTGTGACCGAATTAGGGGCCCGCAGCCACTGGGCCATAAAGCCGTGTGCTATTGCAATTCACCGTTTCTGGCGAGGATCCTAGGCGTACAAAGGTATATTCCAACAGAGAGAGGCTCGATCAAATGGTCAATCCTAGCATCCTGGAGATATCTACAGCTTGGAGAGTCCTTCGTGTGTCGATGGAGTGCCTCCAAGAAATATCTGCTTGTCCGCAGCAGACTCTTCAGACCATCCGATCGAAGGTGAAGAGACATGGATACTTGATGTAGTGTTACCACTTATCCACCGAGAAGCAACCGCTTTCGCAACTTGGTTATCGTCCAGAGAAGCATCGTATATCAGCAGCGTGCCGCATACAATCACCTCGATATGTTGCATGAGTTCCCTTCCCTGGTAGAGGAGCTCTTCCGTCACGTGTCGGGAGACAATCGATTGCAAGGCATCCAAGCACTGCTCAATATTCTTGCATTCTTGCTCCAGTTTCGGCTTGCAGATTGCAAGTAAAGGTCTCGCCCATGCACCCAGGACCGTCTCGCTTAGTCTTCCCTTTCCTAGACGCTTGTCGTTGAGGACTCGAACCACATCTTCGGCCATCACATTGACAGTGCCTTCCCAGATAGCATTGACTGCGCAATCGCGGAAAATCCTGGCAATGTTCAGCAAACCCCCGTCTTCATTACTCTCGCAGTAGCCCACGCCACCCAGACACTCCATACAGGCGCGAAGTCCATGGACTGCATTCACGCTCACTATACCCTTCATCACGGGAGTGACCAGGCGGAGTAGAGCTGCGGCTGTCGCCTTAGCTCTGGGAATCAAGTTGGCAGCTTTGGTGTTTCGGGCCGTTGAATCCCAGTCCTGCTCAATGGCACCCTGCAACGCCACAGCAAAGAAGGTGAGCTGCATTGCCGCCCAGTACTTCACCGTCTCACCCGCCATCCACCGCACGTGCAGTCGATTGTCTTGAAGGAGCTTCCCCTGTGTCGTCCGGATCTTACTGTAAGCGCGACAGATCGCCAGCCCGCGGCCCCAATACCCAAGGGAGCCGCCGGCCGTGTAGAGCCGGGTAATGTTCAGGACCGTCGCAATCTCCTTAATCCCCTTCCCTTCCTCCCCAATTAGCCACCCTCGAACCCCCCTCAACTCCAGCTCAGCCGTAGGAAGGGATTTAGTGCCCAGCTTATTCTTCAGCCGCTGGATCCGGATCCCATTCAACTCCGGGACCTTCCCTTCCTCACCAGCACAGCGGCGCATCGGCACATAGAACAGACTCAGTCCCTTCCCTGTCTGCGCCAGCAAAAGTGTCATCTCAGAGTCGGTCGCGCTGCTGAACCATTTGAAGCCATCGATGCGCCACGGCCCCAGCGGCAGCCCATGCGCGTCGCGGTCCCTGCCTTGCGCACTATCTTGTGCAATCTCATCCCCGGTCAAGCGGCGGGCCACCGTCTCCGTCCCGCGGACATCACTCCCGCCGCGACGCTCTGTCATCCACTGGCCCGAAGTCCACGCCACGGAGGGATCCCGCGCGACCAGCCGCCGATACGACTCCCGCAGCACCGCCCCCCGCCCCGGCTGGTCCCCATCCGGGTTGTCCCGATGCGCGTGGAGCAGTTTCGCCGCCCCGTCGCTCATCGACGCCGGACACCCCGTCATCGCTGCACTGCCCGTCCACACATGATTCAACGCGAACTGATGGACGCGTCGGTTCCACCCCTCGTTCTCTTCGTCGTACGCGACAGAGACTAGTCCTTTCTCCTGTCCGATCGCCTTGAGTCGGCGCCACCCTTCCCCAACCCAGAGCGGGTCGACGCGGTTCTCTGCGCCGAAGGTTGTGAGGGGCCGGAGGATCGGGGGGTTTACCTCTGCGTCGGTGGAGAGGCGGAGAACGGTGGGGTCGAGGGCCAGGCGGGAGAGGTTGTGGATAGCGGTTGTGGGCTCGGGGCAGTTCGGGGGAAGGTAGAGATCTAGCACGCGGGCGAGCGCGGTGTCGTCGCAGGGCGGGGATTCGGTGGCCAATTGGGGGTGGTTGTTATTGTTGTTGGTGGAGGAGGAGGAGGTGTATGCGGGCGGGATGACAGGAAGTGGTTGGAAGAATCCGTCCGTGGAGGAGGAGGGTTTCTTGCCGTTGGGGGGCTCCATTTTTTGTGAGTACGTATGGATTCTTGATCCTCTAAGGCGTATGGCAGTGCGTTTGTCGTGACGGTGCGTTGTATGGATAGGATCGGATGACAGGATGGGCTTGCACGGTCGGTGGCAGGGATTTCTATGTATACGGTGTGTCTGGCCAAATGCAACGAGCGGGGAAGATACCTCGGTCAGAATGGTTTCTCCCCACCACATGCAGGCATTGTTATGGTACCTGGTACTAAGTACCTAGGTATACCGTAGGGAAACCCGAACTTGGAGGGCGTGAGGGGACATTGATTACGAGATCACGACCACCTTTGAGATTCAACATCCGAGGTCCATCGAACTCGGTACATGTGGCGGGGAAGGTTCAATAAATTCGTTTATGCCCCAGCAGAATGTCAGTGTGACTCGTATGCTCAACTGGGGCTGAGTTAGTCCAGTTGCTATGAGGAACGGTCAACACTATCAATCTTAGTCATTTTGTGTTCTTTCTCTGAAGATGCCGGTGTTTTGTCATGCACCGGAGGGTCAGGTCGGCCGACAGTCGCTTCGAAATTACCCCGCACCCGCACCCCGCAGATTCACAAGGAACTAACTGAAAGCCTACCGTGGACCACTTGTTGAGTTTCCAGGTTCTTCTCCTGTGTCCACACATTCAACCGTGCTCACCGCACACCTATAGGCTGTGGGATCGAAATGCCAGTCCTTATTGTCGGTAATGTTGAACAGTCTCCATACTTCCCACTCAACAAACTCAAGCAGCCGCCGTCAGTCCCACTTACACATACTTGAACTTAGAAGATAAGCAAGCGCCTGGTACAGTGACGTCGAGTTCGAAACATCAAACCCATCCAAGCCTAACACTCTACCCAAATCGCACCAGATCTCTTCATCAACTACTACAATCCCCGACGGGAGATCAAGGGCCTCGAATTTTGTCCAGAACAGGCGCAGCTTTCTAATTACTCAATAATGGATCCTCCGTCTCGTCATCACCCGCCGCGCGATCGATCATCGCGCGGACCTCTCGCGATGGGATCATATGCATGGTGTCCTCCAGGATCTCGGCACTTTGTTGAATGAGTAACGTCCCCGAGCCTGCGAGGCGTAAGATATGGATCGAGCGAGCGAGCGAGCGCTTCCTCGAATTCTGGCATCCGGGCGGAAGAGAAATCGGATAGAGTGAGCATTGCGCTACGCGACCCCAGCTGCGACGCACTGAAAGCACACCTGCGCGGCGGACATTATCTTGGAGACGAAACGTATAATGGCTCAATGCTGGGAGAGATGTTGGAGGTCCCGTACGGCCGAGATTATCATTTGATCTCAGGCGGTGACGGGCGACTCGAGTTGCTCCTGGCGTTGGGCTGGGGACATGGCTGGATGCTCACGGTGTCGTTGGCTGGCCAGGAATGGGCGGAGTAGTAGTGATTTATGGCTGAATGCGAGCTGGAGAGTCAGTGTCTGCAGCATGAATGCGCCAAGCCCCAACGGTATGCTGCGCCTGGACTGGAGTGACGCGCGCGCTCCGCAACCTGTTGTCCTGAAATGGCGACGAAAGAGAGAAAGGAAGTCTTTAGTGGAGGTGTATGTGGTTTTACGGAAGTACGGTCATTCGTGAGTTCATCTTCACTATCTCAGATGGGCTGACTCTTCTACACCTACTCGCAAGACCTTGGTACTGGGCCTTGTTGAGCAAAGCCTTGTGTCTTTCATCTACTGTACCAACAAATTACACATTCGGTCTCTTCATGAATAGTCTGTCGAAATGTCAACACGCATGAGGCGCACAGTAACCATAAACGACAACTCAGAGACTACAAACAATATGACATATTCATCTCCGCATCTCCCTGTCACCCAGAAACAATGAGCGACAATGTCTCACATCGTCTGTCCCCAAGCCGCTCGCATCTGCTCAATCACGGTATCCGTATACGCCCACAGCAAGTTCGAGTAATCCGACGCCCACGACAACCCCGTGTAGAACGTGCGATGCCGTCCCTGCAAGCCATACAATTCCCTGTAGAACCCATCCCGTATCTCCGCTGCACTCACACTCATCGTCGCCGGCGTGTGGTCCCCCCAGGTCACGATCTGCGGCATCCGCGCCGTCGGAAACGTACCTTGCGCACGGAGCCGGGCGAACGTCTCCACCAACAACTGCCGCGCATCGGACGCGGTGAAGGACTGGTTCCCCACTAGCTTGATGGTGCGGTATCCGGGAACGCGCTGGGCGTCGATCCGCCAGATGAATGGCTCGTATGGCACGGACAGAGGGTTGTCCGGGTCGATGTTGAGGAGGTTCACCCCGTCGACGAGACCGGTGTTGTTTATGAGGGCGGTGTAGTACGTTTGGTGGCGCCAGCGGGCGAAGAGGTCCGTTTCGTGCGCGTCGAGGTCGATGATATCGCGCAGGTTTTCGAGCGTCACGGGGATAGTGAGGAGGAGTTGGTTCGCGCGGATGAGTCGCGTTGTCCCGTTGGCGTGACGGACGGTGACCTCGACGCCATTGTGAGTGCGACGGACGGCTCGGATGGTCGTCCTGAACAGGAGGTGGGGGGGCCAATTCCTTCGCCGCCCGGGTGTAGATCTCGGCCATGCCGTTCACGGGGCGGATGTAGCCATCTCCCAGGGCTTTGGCGTGCGGGATTCCGAGGTATTGGACGTGGTAGAGGGTCATCGTCCTCAGGATGTCGCCGCAGCCGTGATTGATGTTCGGGAGGATGGTGTCTTCGAGGTGGTATTTTTTCACGAAGTCGCCGAACGGGAGCAGCAGATCCTCTGGGACTGGGTCGGGTAGGTCGTAGACCCCGTCGTTGAGGAAGGGGAACTGGGCGATGGCATCGAGGTATGGCTTCAGGACCTGCTGCTCGTCAAAGGGCTCGACCGGCACCTTAGCGCCGGTTCTCAGGTTGAGATACTGGTCCGTGGACGAAGCGGGCACGCGCACTTCATACGTGACGTTGAGTCGCTGTAGATACGCTCGCGTCGCGCTGGTGTTGAAGAGTCCCTCGACCCCGTAGTTGATGGGGGTGTGATCGGCTGGATAGAAGGTCTCTGCATGGCCACCCAGACGGTGGCTACGCTCGACCACGACGAAGGACTTGCCCAAGTCCTTGAAGCGGATGGCTGCGTAGGTGCCGGTGCTTCCTCCGCCCACAATCACCACATCGCGAGTGATCGTCTCGGAAGCCGCGCCGGCCCCGGCCCCAAGAAGACACGCAAACAGGCCAAACAGGCTGAAGGCTATTGTAATCATCGTTGCTGGGTGGAGATACTACCTACGGCAACAGCGAAACGGTGGATCGCAACACGACCGATGCGCTCACAGCATCGCTCGATTCTACCCTTCAAGTCGCTCTTGCCCAATTCTAATGGCTATACGAAACTCTACCATAATCATCCCCGTTTCGCGTCCCATGAGGCTGAGGACAGACCATCTCCACACCACGCACAATCGGATATCACCATCCCGCCCTTTCTTCATATCGCCGACTTTCGATAAAGACCCGACCCGTCCTTCGCGACATTCCTTGAGGAACGATCAGAATTGAGACCGCTCATGTGGACACGTGCCAATTGTCGCTCGCGGGCACTTTGCGAGTTGCGCCTTTGAAGATGATGCTCTTCAATACAGCTGATGAGGACAAAGGATCGGGGACAAATCTGTGGGTATCGTATGTACACCATGCTCCAACTCTGCCAAGCCGGGCGGCCAACACAAATAGGTCTCGGGTATCGTAAGGCTTCAGACATGTGCTGATGTTCTAGAAGGCTGACCAGATGATGTCGCGATACCACCACTATGTGGATGGCTTCAGTCGAGTCAGCTTTCGTCAAGGCAACACTGATGTCACCTCACGGGGATGGTGGTTGAGAACATGACGCAGCATCGTCCGGTTACAGCGAGGGAACTCGTGCGACCGAGAGACAGACCGACAGAGCGCAACGTTGCACATGATCTGGAGACAGGTCATCCGCATGTGAGGTTGCCTGAGAGTCGGGGTTGCCGAAACCTTCATCCGCCCGCTCGGCGACGCCCCAATCGGGCACTTGTCGTGCGATAACGAGGCCATCAATCGGGCAATTGCTCAATATCGGCGGATTTGAGCCCTGGACTGGCAAGAGGCGATAGGATGGTCGCACACGGTGGAAACGGAATGTAGCATGGCATCTGTTTTGGTCTCGGTACCATTTGTATCGCCTGGGCAGGGCTTCCGTGGTGACTTTCCGCCGAGCGGGTGATGGCCCGTCAGCGGTACAAAAGCAGGCGAGAGCTGAATGCTACCAGATTGTACGGGTGTAGCGTTGCACGATGGGTTGGATGTACCGATATGAGGCGTATTTTGATTTGTATTGTTCCTTGGTGGTTAGGATGTGATAGAGAATGCGTCACGTTTTTCTAGAATATGTTTGATAATAACATCACCCTCACATCAATCAAGGCAAGATGGCCGAGTTGGTCTAAGGCGTCAGGTTAAGGTTACCTTAGCATACAGCTTCATAGCTTCCTGATCATCGTTTGATGGCGTGGGTTCGAATCCCACTCTTGTCATACCTTTTTGCACACTTCCCAGGATTTCTAGCCGTCGCTTGAACTTCTGCTTCATTCATGTGTATATGCGGTTGTCCTTTGCTTTCTTTTTGTTCTCTTTTTCTCTTTTACTTTTGTCTGGAATGTTTTAGCACTCGCAGTCGAACTATAATTCACCTTAGCAAAGGTCACCTCCGATTGTGAGTACACAATCAACGCGTGCTACAGCTCAGTAAAGTATCAACTGTGGAAAGGCAACAACATTCGTAGATCAATAATGTGGATAGAAGTTTTCTCACACTTTTACAATCTTCTACATTATCCTAGCATTTGCCAATTAGACAAAAATTCTTCTTAAGAAAGTTCATATCGTATTGCGAGCATACAAACAAGCCCGCTCTCCAGCTCAACAAGACATCAACTGACGAAAGGCAACAACGTCCGTAGATCACTAGCCTGGCATCATCATTGGACAGAAAAAAACACACGGACTAAACTAGAAAGCCTCTCACCCCCTATACTTCCTAACAGGCATAACCCATCAGCCCGCCACCAACCACACTACAATCCAAAAATCCAGCCTCCAGCCTCCACCCCATCCCCCTGCCCCGAATCAAAAAGATATAGATACCCACCGCGCGACCACCCCATCCACACCACCCCGATCCCCGCAGCAACAACAGGCACTACCCCCTCCCGCACCCGCACCGTGCGCCACACGCCCACCTCAGCAACATACAACCCCAGAACCGCCCCGAAACTCAGCAGCGCCAGATCGTACACGGGCGCGTCGTGGATGTGGTACGCGGCCGCGCCCCGGATGCCCGCCGCCAGCAGGTTGGCGAGGCCGTAGATGTGCGCGAGGAGCGGGGATCGGGCCGGCGCGTTCGGGCCCGAGAAGGCTTGGAGGGAGGGGAGCGGGCGGAGGTAGGTTGCCAGGCTGTGGGTTAGGGTGGCTAGGGTGCTCTGGTTGGGGTTATAATCGTTTGTCGGGCAGGGAGGGGGGGGGGGATGGACATACGTAGAGGAGGAAGTAGGAGAGGAGGCCTTCTTCGTAGGGTGGAAGCCACGGGGTGGTCATTTTGTGGGGGTTGGGTTTGGGTTGGTGAGGTTGCGGGTGGTTAGTTGGGGGTGGGGGTGGAGAGTTGTGATGCGAAGGCGGCATAGGAGAGATGGCTTTTATAGGTACGGCAGGCAAATATCGGTCAGTGAAGGATGAGACTCGAGGTGTGGTGTCTACGTAGTGACGATTTCCCTGCTTGCTCTGTGGTACTTGCTCTGTGCGTGGTCTTCGTATGCTATAATTCTGAAAGAGCTACTGCCAGCGTCTAGTGTGTCCGCACCCGCATCATTCTCATGATGTGAAGTGTCTCCATTAAGGTAAGCCATCAGATGACAAGATAGTACATTCCTGACACCCCTTAGCAATCTATCCTGTCATCCCAACACAATACCGTTCTCTATTTATTTTCAAGAGATTTCACTCCCACGGTTACAGAGAACATACGACCAGAAACTTCCTCAAGCCTCCAACATCGCCTCGATTACCCCATACCCTTCCATCACCACATCCACCCCCATAACCACCAACCCCGCCCGCCGCAGCAGCTCCGTGGTATGCCTCTCCGTCCGCTCCATGGCCGCCATAAACACCATCATCACGATATCCATCCTCGCCAAAATCCGCGGCGCGTGCATCTCGGGCACAATGCCCCCGAACAGCCACAGCTTCGAATACCCGCTCCGCATCCCGGCGGCCACGTTCCGCAGGATGTCCACCACCTTCTCGTCCGGCCAGTTGTGGATGAAGTGCTTAAGCAGATACACCCGCGCCCCCTGCACCGGCTGTGGCGTGAAGAAGTCATACGGCATGTACTCGATCATTGGGTCCCGCAGGTCCGCGGGGATGGTCTCAATCACCGACCGCTGATCCTGAAGGACGATCTGCCCCCTCTGCAGCGGGGAGGGGAACTTGGTCCTCAACACGCGGAGGTCGTGACCCATGCCGCCGCCGACATCGACCAGCAGGGGCGCATCAGAGTCGAGGGTGTCAACGCCGCCCGTGGTAATGCGCGTCCAGACGGGGTAGCTGTCGCTCCAGTGCTGTTGATTGCGCTTCGTGGTTTGGAAGGTGTTGAAGTCGCGGGCGATGGTGGGGTTGGCGGCGAGCCATTGGAAGAAGCTGCGGTCGGTGTGGAAGCAGGATTGGAAGATCCCCAAGGGGCTGTCGCTGTCAGAGGGGTTGCGGTACTGCGTTGCTTGGAGGTGGTCGGGGAAGCTCTGTAGGTTGGAGACGATGTTGCCGCTGTTTGCGGGGCGGAAGTGTTAGCGAGCTCGTCTGATCGGAATCACCCCAGGCAGTGAGGACATACAACATGCGGAAACCGGCGGCGAATGCTGCGATTCCCAGAATATCCGACGTAGGAGTTGCTGTGTAAGCCTCTGGGCTGGATTCGCGCACGACGCCAGTGCCGGTGATGACTCGCATGAGTCGAGCTGGGGGTGGTCAGCTTTGGTTCGATCAGAGCGTGCTAGAGAGCTGAGCGCACCGAGGAGGCTTGATTCCGCTCCCGTCTGCTCTGCCAGCTGCTGAAGCGTCAAGGACCCATGGCTCAGCTTCTCGAAAATGCCCAGGTCACTTGCGGTTCGAAGACAGGGGAAGATGGTAAACTGCAGTGGTTAGCTTGCGCTTTCAACATGATGGAGCGAGCCAGACTGTTGTGAAGCTCTCCAAGGCTTTATCCCCGGGTCTCTGCAGAGCATTGATGACAGACTGGCATTGAAGAATGGCATTTTTGTGTGCTGTTGGATCGTCGAGGTTGATACTGTTGAGCTGGGAAAGGGAAGCTTTAGCCTCGTCGACTTGGGGATTAAAGTCGCTCATGCTGAATGTATGTGGTGCCTCAGGCAAAAACCAACCTTTGGCTTGCTACTGTGCACCATCCGACAAACACTACTGTTTATCATGAAGGCTGGATTTGGTGGTGCAAATTAGCTTCCAAGTTCGACCTTCGCCTGGACCATTCATTTTTGCCAATCTGCACACCACTCTTGAATGCCTGGATTGCCAGATCAGACCGGCCTCGTCGGTTTTTCAAAACACCCCATTTCGTCGCCTTGCCGGAGGACGTACGACATGAGAGAGGCGGGAAAGCCCCCTGCGTTGCACTGTGAACGGATCCTTCTGCCACACTATTACCTCAACAACCTCGCTAACGGTTCACTACCTGTGGTTGCACACGCTGGTGGGCGCACTTGCGGGTAAAGACCTCACCACGCCTCACTCCGGCTCTGTATTAATTCCCAGTCATACATGGCTCCGTCCAGCAGGCAAAGTCTACTCTAACCAGTCTGTCTCACTATATTCCATCAGAGCTATGTATCGTAAGGTCACCGATGTACAAAGCGCTATTCGCAGACAATTCGTCGGTCACCGAGGTGACCTTAGAAGGTTACCTCGAACTTCGTTCGAATCTTCTTGCCGCAGTGATAGAAAATTACCGGCACCGGTAACATGAGCAAGGCAATGAACCCGAGCAACGAGTTGCCCCATCCCAGCCCCAACGTCGCATACATGGAGGGACCTGCAAGTGGCAGAAACGCTCCGACGAATGATCGGACCAGGGTGTTTGCAGCCACGGCAGACGCTGCGTAGGGGCCAAACGCATCAACCATATATGACTGGATGGGCAAAAACGTTCCGATCATACCCAGCCCGATCCAGCCTAACCCGATGATGGGCATGATCCAGTGCACATGCTTGTCGACGGACCAGCCGTACCAGAACAGACCGATAGGCACCAAGGTGCTACCCGGAATCAGCAGAGGCAGTCGGAACTCAGGCTCTGATTGACCGTTGTTCTTCGCCGTGAGTCGAATCTGGGTCTTGTCGGACAATGCGCCGAAAATTGCCATCCCAATGGCAGCACCCACCCCGACCCCGATATAGACCAACCCGGTGTTACCTTGGGTGAAGTGATATGTGGTTTCGTAGATGTGGGTGATTGTCGTGAAAAGCAGGTAGAGGTAACCGAAAACGATTCCTGTGATCGGAGAAAAAGTGATTAGAGACCGCGATTCTGAAAACAGCGAAATGCAAAGCCTGAGTGACAGCTAACCAATATAGATTGAGAATAGCGCTACTATCGGGGACAAGAAAAGCATTTTTAGCGGTCGGACAATGGACTGAACTATGCTGTTCTTCGCATTGACTCTCAGAGTCTTGTCGGAGTAGAGGTTGGGGTTCCCAGTTTCCTGTTTCAATCGGTTGACTTGACGCTGGAGTAGCACAGGCTCGTAGGTTTCCGACTGGAGGAGTAGGGTAAAGACCAACGCGACACCTGACTGAGAGAAAGAGGGAGTGTCAGCACGAGCACGCACAATAGTTGATAGGTCAAGCAGCTCGTACTTACCACGATGGCAACCAGCCAAAGGACCCAGCGCCATCCTGCAGCTTCGGAGAGGTAACCACATGCGATCGGTCCTAGCACCGGACCCATGAGCGGGCCTACCCCCCAGATGGCCATGACCAATCCTCTTTCTTGGGGAACAAAGAGATCACCGATCGTGCCCGCGCCCAACGTCATAGGCGCGCTACCGGACAGGCCAGCGAGCATCCGGAAGGCCAGCAGAGCACCAAGATTGGGGGCTAGAGCACAGGCGATGTTCCACACAACGAAAATGGCCGTGGTGATTTGGTAAACGCGCAGGCGACCGTACATCTCCGACAACGGGGCAAGAATAAGGGGTCCAAGGCCGAAGCCAATCAGGTAGATGGATACTGAGAAGGAGCCAAGAGTCCTGTTGGTGGAGTGAAACTCCTTGAGGACTAAGCCCGTGGCGGGCGCCAGGATGGAGGAAGCCAAGGGAGTCAAAAAAGTCAAGAACGAGACACTGAAGATGTTCAGCCACTTCTTGTTTCTCGGCCAATTGATTGGTCTGGCTGGGTCGTCGGGGCCATCCCAATCGACGACTGCAGAGTCGGCTTCCACCTTCATAGCTGGTCGTACTATCTCTTCAGGTATCCGTTGTGTGTCGTAGTCGACGTTGATAGTGTTGCTCGCAAGGCGCCAGCGAGGTAAGAAGGTGTGCGTGTGTGTGTGTGTGTGTGTGTTGTGAACCAGAGGTGTATCTGCGTTCCGTCTGCTTTAAAAGATCGCAGCACGTGCCTCCCTTCGAGTAACCAGTGGTGAAACCCAACTTCCCAGTCGGGAGATAATAGGACACTCAGCGTGCGTCCCCTGATGAAGATGGTAGGTGAAGGTCGAAAATTTGAGTACACGAGAATCTGACGAGAGTTGAGGAGAGTTGAAGCGGGAAAGTCTGGAGCTGAAAGAGGGATGGGAATTGGGAGATGGCCGAAGAGGAAAGAGCAGGTGATTCAAAGGTTAGTTAGTAGACGTCAGACATCCGGGATTCTCGCCCGAATGCCAGACACTGCCCACTGTACGTTTACGTAGACTGTAAATTACCCAATGACTCGAAATCTAGAAATATGGCCCAAATCATGGTTTGTATATTGGTGTATCTGACTCACCTCGTTTCATGCAGCTCTGTTCTGTAAGCTTGATTCAAGCCTCTGGCACGCTAGCATCATGTCGTGGGCTGTCGGCTATGCTCTCATGCCGCTCAAAGGAGTCATGCTTGGGGGGACCATAGCAACAGTAGTAGTGGTTACGATACTAGTAAGAGAGGTTACTATGGAGTAAGTATCATAGGCTAACAGATTCATCCAGTATGCCGTCCTCACTGCGGTATACCTGCTCAAATTCCATCCACTTGCCAAATATCCAGGACCGCGGCTTGCAGCCGTGACTCGCCTAGTACATTCCTACCATTTATTATCTGGCACGGTGGTCCGGTTCGCCCACCAGGCTCATGAGAAGTACGGCCCGGTCGTGCGGATCGCACCGGATGAAATTCTGTTTACCTCCAGCAAAGCATGGGAGGCGATCTACGGCCTGCAGCCTGGTCGATTGGAGATGAGCAAAGATACGCCGCTGTTCCGCGGTCCACGAACGCCTCATGCCATCGTCACGGCCGAGCATGATCTCCATCGCCTCTATCGGCGGTTGCTCTCGAAGGGCTTCTCCGAGGCAGCCCTTCGAGAACAGGAGCCCGTAATCCAGGGCAAGATTAACCTGCTGTTGGCACAGCTGCATAGGGAGGCATCGAAAGGCGTCGCGCCGGAAATGACCTCCTGGTTCAATGTGAGCGGACTACATTCCGAGCCAATGACTGGCGTGATACGCTATTGAGTGTCAATGTATGACCGTCCCTACTAGTTCTTCACGTTCGATCTGATTGGGGAGCTAGCTTTCGGGGAGTCCTTCGGGTGCCTTGAAAGCTCCACCTATCAACCATGGGTCGCCATGATCTTCGAGGTTATGAAGTATCGGGGCTTTATGCAGGCCCTCAACTACTATCCCTCTGTGTCCAGCGCACTGTTGAGGGTCCTCCCCAAATCCTACGCCAAAACCTTCGCCACTCACAGGCAGCTTACCCATGAGAAGGTCCAGCGAAGGATTGAGAGGAAGGTGACGTACAACGACTTGACCGCCAATCTTCTCGACCCATACCACAAACTGGAACGATACCAGATCGACGGTAATTGCTCGACGCTCATTATCGCCGGGAGTGAAACCACCAGCACAGCCCTGAGCGCTACAACGTATTACCTTACTCAATACCCAGATGCCAAGGCTAAGGTAATCCAGGAGGTTCGAAGCACATTTCAAGAACCGGGGGAGATCACTTCCATCAGCGTGAATCAACTGAAGTATCTGCCCGCCTGCTTCACCGAGGCTATGCGAAGATTTCCGCCCGGGCCCGCCGTCTTCCCTCGGCGAGTTCCCAGGGAAGGGGCCTGGGTTGCGGGGCACTGGATCCCCGGGGGCATGCAGGTGGGCATCTGTCATTTTGCCGCCAACAACTCACGTCTCAATTTTCAGGATCCCGAGAGATTTGTCCCGGAGCGGTGGTTGGGCGATCCGGCGTATGCGGAGGACGATCGACACGCGATGCAGGTGTTCAGTGTCGGGCCCCGCAACTGTCTTGGGCAAAGTTTGGCCAAGCTCGAGTTGCATCTGGTGCTGTGTCGATTCATCTGGGAGTTCGACTGGGAGCTGTCCCCGGAGTCAGAGAATTGGGACCACGATACCCCTGTCTTCAACACCTGGGGGGTCAAGCCTTTGCGCATCTTTCTCACCCCGGTCAGCCGCTGAGCGTCTAGATACATCGATGTGCATGAAAATATGGTTAAGGTTGACTTTGTGTGGCAAACTGTAGTTTCGGAGGTTTTTCGGGACGGGCGAGACTCACCATAAATAAGCTATCCAGCCTGTGACATGACCGAGCCGTACCCCATCTCAGCGCTCACATTCATTGAAATCCTGTAGTCTTCTTAGCGATGCCTTGTACTGAATCAATGTCGATGATAGTATGAACAAGGATCTTAATTTTCGAGCTCGATGTCCCGGGTACACAACCTTCTGCGCCTTAGCTGTTGAAACTGGCAGCCCTGGCTTAATGGCAAGCTTAATTTACGCCGGACGCACCCAGGGACGCACCCAGAGCCACAACATCTAAATCGAGTATAACATCCGATGTGGATCGGAGAATAATGGTCCAGTCAACTCAACCTTCCAACCCCGCCTTCTCCCAAGAGTTAGATTGCTAGAATATTGCCACTGCAGCAAAGTTATGCTGTGCTCGCCAGGTTTGGGGGGGAAGAGGGTAACAACGCAGTGCCACGACGGCAAGGCAGCCCCATGGCTTGTGCTGTGCCTGACCGCCGCCTCGGTTCGTACTTTTCTGCCAGGAAGGAACAGAAGGTGCTGCACTTCACAGTACAACAGACAAGACAGGAATCACACAACATGAAACATCCAACTGTGATCACATTTACCACGTGAAGCTGCTATACTTTGGCATCTTGGTGGTTGAGGGAAAAAAAGCCGAAAAAGAAAACATACAACAGAAGGGATTCGCTGGTGGTCACCCACCCAACTACTAACCTCCCGGCGTGTGGCTTAAGTACGGCTGAGCGGACGGGAAGCCCTGTTTTCCACACCCTGTGGTCGTATGTGATCGTGTTATCTAAAATTATATCTATATTCATACTAACTTCCATTTCCAGAGTACTTTTCATGCGTTTAAACTTGCATTTCTTCCGACCAAGAGCTGTCGCTATCCATGATTGGGTGTAATAGAACAGCCCACTTAACAAAGGATTAGTTGGGACTGGGAAAAAAAGAGAATTGCGGGTACATTCGGCCGTCCCTCGTAGGAGACAGCTGTGGTGCGGTGATATATGTTGATGCGGGAAGACGTGCCACGGGTCTACCTTGGTCACACAGGGGGTCGCAGACAACACACAATTAAGCGCTTAATGCTCCACTCGCCGTATACTGGCATGTCCTGGCTCTAGCAGGTGACATGCATACGCCCAGAGCTGTTGGTATACCACCCCCTCCTGGACCCCACCAAAGCAGTGTTCCGCATCTCGACCGCATACCCTAGGATGCATATACCCTCCAGGTCGGCATAGTAGTGCGTAGTGAGGGGTAGACACACCTACCTATCAAACTAAAACAGAACTCTTGGTTTGAATCGGAGACTCGTATTCAACCATGGACAAGAATAACATATGTACACATCCTAAGTCGAGCCACGGGAGAATACATGCTCTCTACAGCGGCCGCGAGAGCGAGCAAGCAGCAGTAACGAAAAGCAAACATGTTTGCAATGACATAGCAGTTGACACTTCTGACAGACTACCACGTTGCACCAGATCGACTATTGCTCTTTGAACCTCACTGAGTGTCTCCCAAGAGCACAACCCATCGCCTCGAAGGTATGCAAATAGGTGCTCATGTATGGGTGATTTTGCCGGAACGAAAAAGAAAGCCAGGCCTGGACATGATTTGTGTTGGCGAGATGTAGGTCGGGGCTTGGACTAGTCAACCATGCATTCATTCACCCAAGGTCCAAAGAAAAGAAGAAACGAGGCAGAACTCACTAATATGAGGCGAGGTCCGATGTGTAGGTTGTTGCCATCCCCTCGTAGCCCACACGCCCGAAGAATGCTTCTAGGCCATCCGCAGTAGCCTTGTCATTCTGACCAAAGGATGGAAAGTAAATCTGAGGCTCGGGAAGAAGACTGTTGGGAGACAAGGTGAAATTGATGATAAAGGGTAATTGTTCCTGGGGTGACTCGCCAAGCTCATAGAAGCAGTCTGGAAGAGCGCAACGTCCTTGGGTGATGGGTAGTAGCTGCCACAGCTCCTTCAGTAATTCGAGCCCCGCTCTGGTCCCCTGGCCGGCCCGTCGTCCGCCTAAAGTCCATATATCCGCTATCGAATCCAACTCTAGTTGGGTTTCGTAACAGTAAACTTTGATTCTAGATTTGGAGGGCTGGACCAAGTCGCAAGAAAGGAAGTGGGGTATGAGTGTCGCGCTTCGCGAGGCCATGAATTCCTGCAGTGCTGCCAGTGGTGCGTTTAATCTTCCACCAGGGTCGGCTTTACGTATGGCGCTGAACATCAATTGGTCCTTGGGTGTGCCAGACGCGATCGACTTGATTCGTGGATAGATGTACATTTTGAAGACGATGCCACCGCTGTGATCTAGATCGGCGGCCAGTTTATTCTGCGTTTTGAAACATGGAATCTCCCAATTATTATTTCGGATAATTTCAACCTCTTCGTCTGTGACGACGAGCTCTGAGACGAAATGGTTGAACCAGCACAAATCGAGCTCTGGGACCACGGCTGTGAGTGCTCTCAGCACTGGATGAATTTGCTTAGTGTTGTAAGGGTCAAGCTCGGAGCCTGTCAAAGGCCCAATTGGCTCAAAGGCGAACCGCAGCTGTGAGTTGGAGTAATTGAAGCTCAACTCAAAAGGTAGTCCAAAGCGAGTCAAATGACTCTTCCAGTGCATAGGGTGGCCCTTTCGGGGGTATGGACCCAAATTGGGAATGACAAATTCATGGTGCATACACAAAAACCGATATTGCGCATGCACATTGTATTTGGCGGCTGCCATCATTTGTGCAAACATCGGAGCTGTGCTCTGCCACCATTTTGCTTCGTCATCATTGGAGAATGCGAAGCTGCGGCTAAGGGTTTGAAATGGTACGGACAGTTGAGCTGAGACATCCATTCTGTTCGTGACAAGGGAGGATGCGAGGTGTTTCTGTGGGTATAATGCGAGGGGTGACCGCGAATGAGAAGCTCCAACGGGCCATGAGCAGTCAATAGATGGAGATTGACTGAGTTTATATGTTGATAGCAAGAAAGCATGCTGCCATGCAGTACGGATTTGGGCGTCCCTTTCCATCCCGTGGTTGTGACCTCGTGCAGGTTGCAACCACCGTCAATTCCCGGCGTATGGTTTCATAATCAGTTCGAGGAGCAATAGAAGTCCAGCCCTAACGTAGCGCATGGTTCAGAGTCGCCCAGCTGCAGAGCTCTCATCAACAATTGTCTAGGGTGATCTAGGCTGCAGACTCGAGTGGTGTGATGTCAATGACCAGGCATTTGGACTTGCACAAAAGTTACAATCTCGAGCTCGATGGGTTTCACAGCATGCGTGTCTTTCTATTATCGCTCCGTGAGTCTCTCCGTGGCCTGTGAAGGGGTCCCAAGTCTCGACATGGTTGGTTTGAGTATCGTATATGAGGTCTTTCAGCTGACGTCTCGCAAAGTTAATCGGGTGCTTATCGCAAGAAGGTTTAACTCGCACATCCGAGCCCTTGTATTGCTGAAACACTATTCGCACCCAGTTTTACAGGCGTCAAGAGAGCGACGAGATGGGTTGTCAACTTATGCTTCTGGTCAGCGTTACGTGATCCAAACCTAATCGCCAGGGTGCTTACCCAGAGGACCTGAGAACATCCTTTCGAGCCCAGAACCGTGGTCAAAACTGAGAGTATATAGCATTGTGTCCCAACTATGGAAGAGAAGGCTGACCTGCTTCACCTGTTGCAGAGAGATGACAACACTGGAGCTTTCATCCAAGAGAATAGCAAGAAAGACAATGAAAGAACCGATTGCAATTGTGGGTAGTTCCTGCCGGTTCCCAGGCGGTGTGACCTCTGCGGCCGAACTCTGGGAGCTTCTCTTCAATCCACGCGATGTCTTGACCGACTTCCCTTCCCATAAACTCAACCTCTCCGGTATCTATCATCCTAACCCTGATCACCTTGGCTGCACAAACGTCCCAAACAGAGCCTACCTCCTGCACACCGATCATCGGCACTTCGATGCTGCCTTCTTCGGAATCTCTCCTGCCGAAGCTGAATGCATCGATCCCCAGCAACGGGTGTTGTTGGAAACCACATACGAAGCCCTGGAGGCTGCAGGATATACCCTTCAGCAAATGCAAGGATCCTCGACTGCGGTGTTTGTCGGCGTCATGACTTCAGACTATCATGACATCCAAATGCGTGATCTAGATTCTGCTGGGAGGTGGGATGCGACCGGAACAGCCCCTAGTCTGTTGTCGAATCGATTATCGTATTTCTTTGACCTGAAAGGCCCATCCATCACGGTCAACACCGCGTGCTCGAGCTCTTTGGTCGCGTTGCACTATGCTGTCCAGAGTTTAAGGAACCAGGAAGCGGAGCTAGCCATTGTTGCAGGAGTGAATCTGATTTTGGACGCGGGAACATACGTTAGCGAATCGAAACTACATATGTTGTCACCTACATCCAGGTGTCGAATGTGGGATGAAGCGGCCGATGGCTACGTCCGGGGTGAGGGATGTGCATCTGTCATTTTGAAACCATTAAATCACGCGATAGCCGACGGCGATAATATAGAAGGCATCGTCAGAGAGACATTGATTAACTCAGACGGCCGCTCGCCCGGCATTACGATGCCGAGTGTTGAGGCTCAGGCAAGCCTGATTCGACAAACATACCTGAACACTGGTCTTAATCCCGTCATAGATCGGTGTCAGCTTTTCGAATGCCATGGAACGGGCACGCCCGCAGGAGATCCCGTTGAAGCCCAAGCAATCCAAACAGTTTTCTTCCCCAAGCACTCCACGTTCAACGCAGCCGACAAGCTTCATGTAGGGTCCATTAAAACACTCGTGGGACATTTGGAAGGTTGTGCTGGCCTGGCAGGACTGCTAAAAGCAGTTGAATGTGTCAAAAACCGTATGATTACTGCGAATTTGCTTTTCGATAAACTCAATCCACGGATCGAACCATTCTACGACCATTTAGAAGTTCCAACTCAAAACCTCAGATGGCCTTCTCTAATCCCAAACAACCCACTGCGTGCCAGTGTGAATTCATTTGGATTCGGTGGAACCAATGCGCACGCCATCATTGAGAGTTATACACCCCTTACAGGATTGTGTCCACAGAGAGACGATGAGCCTGAAAGAGCCAATCGAGACCTACTCGTAGGTCCGTTTGTGTTCTCTGCCAATAGCCGGTTCTCATTAATGCAAAACCTTCAGCTCATGGCAAATTATGTCAGAAGCCACCCCTCGACAAGTTTGAACGACTTAGCATGGATGCTAAGTTGCAAAAGAACATTTCTTCCCTTGAGAACATCGTTCTCTGCGAATAGCCGCGATGAGCTACTGGGTATGATTGAGAGAACCGTCAAAATGGAAGAATCGGACCTCGAAGCCGATCTCAATCGCTCGGCACGAAAGAGCCCGAAGGGAAAGAGTGTTATTCTTGGTATTTTTACTGGTCAAGGTGCACAATGGGCAGCCATGGGCCGTGATCTGATCCAGTCATGCCCCATATTCCGAGACTCAATTGAAAAATGTCAGCGAGCACTAGAAGGTCTGCCGGATGGACCTTCATGGTCGCTGCAGAATGAACTTACTACAGACGAACCATTTTCACAAGTCGCTGAGGCGGAATTAAGCCAGCCACTGACAACAGCCATTGAGATTGCGATCTGCGACCTTCTCAGTGCTGCTGGTATACAGCTTGATGTTGTTGTGGGCCACTCCTCGGGAGAGATTGCCGCTACCTATGCCGCTGGGATCTTATCGGCAGAAGACGCCATCAAGATCGCCTACTATCGTGGATTCCACGCTAGGCAGGCGAGCACTAGATGCTCATCACGGGCCGGTGCAATGATGGCCGTCAGCCTGTCTTATACTGAGGCGACACATTTTTGCACCCAGCCACTGTTTCGGGGAAGAATCGTTGTCGCAGCCAGTAATTCACCCACGAGTGTGACCCTCTCAGGTGATCGCGATGCCATTTTCGAAGCCAAAGTGCAATTTGACAACAGCAATACATTCTCCAGGATTCTGAGAGTCAATGTAGCATATCATTCTCATCACATGCGAGCTTGTGCCGATGCATACTTGACATCTCTGAAGGCGTGTAAGATCCAAGGGCGATCACCACGGGAAGGATGCGATTGGACCTCGAGCCTCAGCGCGGACGACACCTCTTTAGCTACTGACATGTCTGCTCTATCTGGTCAGTATTGGGTTGACAACATGGTGCAGCCCGTGCTCTTCTCTCAGGCGTTGGAACTTTCGTTTCAGAGAAATGGCCTGCCTGACTTATGCATTGAGGTTGGACCTCATCCAGCACTTAAAGCCCCTGCTTTGGAGACCATCAAGCAGGTTACCAGCAAGGAGACACCGTACGTATCAATCTTGAAACGTGCAGTACCTGACGTGAAAGCTGCATCGTTGGCTGTGGGCTTGGTCTGGGAACTTCTGGGACCTCACCGTGTCGACCTTGCCGGATACCGCTGTTCATTTAAACTACCGAAACCTAAACTACTTAGAGGCCTACCGAACTACTGCTGGGACCACCGAAGAAAGCACTGGAGAGAATCTCGCATGTCGCGCAACTACCGGCTTCAGGGGTCGGACTCACAGCAGTCGCTGGGTCGACGGACTTATGATTGCCCGTCTCGTGAAATTCAATGGAGGAAAATTTTGCATTTGAAGGAGATGCAGTGGCTGCAGGGCTACAGATACCACGGGGAGCCACTGCTCTCCGCTGGATTCCTTATAGCTCGTGCTCTGGAGGCAGCAAAAGCTTTCATCAACCATAGTCTTCTTTCGCTTGTCGAGATACGCGATCTGGAGCTCTCCATACCCTTAAAGCTGGAAAGGCATGACTCGGAGATAGAATGCATAAGCAGAATACGAGCCTCCAGTGAAGTGTCCAAGACCTATTCGGACTCTGTTATTAACCTTGATTTTGCTTGCGATGCCTCCACTGACTGTAATGCAAACCTCCAAAGGCTTTGCATAACCCGCGTGATTCCCCATTTAGGTAAGCCTCACACTGACGAGTTGCCCCCAAGGTCCCTGGGGCAACCTTATATGACAGAAGTGGACCTAGATGACCTGTACAAGCTTTTGGAGGAGCGTGGCCTTGTCTGTGGGGGTTCATTTCGTGCGATCAAGACGTTGCGTCGGACGCTCAACCATGCTAGCGTATGCGCTTCTTGGTCCAAAGATACAGCCTCACCATCAGCACTGCTCATCGCTTCCTTTGAAACTGCATTTATATCCCTAATGATAGCATCTAATTCGCCCTTGGTACGAACAAGCTGTTTATTCTATTTTCCTTTCAGAATCAACCGTGTCGCCATAAATCAGGATCTAGCCCAGCGAGTCTTATGCGATGATGTTGATCTGAACATTGATGCATTTATCATATCGTCTGACTCTTGTCAGATTGAGGGTGACTTTTCAATCTTCGACTGCCACGGGAACTCAATCGCTCAGGCAGATGGCGTGCTCTTGAGGTATGCGGATGAGCATAGACCTTTATGTAACGAAAGTCTTTTCTCTCGGATTATTTGGGAACGGGATCCATTTACATGCTCTGGACTGATTGATGAGCACAAGCGCAAGGATGAAGAAGAGATTATAGCCATCGCTACAGAAAGAATTGCTCTGTTCTACGCACAAAGGTCATTGTCTGAGATTGACCCACGTGAAGTTACGACATTCAAGGCCCACCATCGTCTTCTGTACAATGAACTTCACCAAGCAGTTCAAGCAATCAAAAAAGATCCTCAAAGCACTTCGCTGAAGGTTGAATGGCTTGGAGATTCTGACACTACCGTCAAGAGCCTCACAGAGGAGTTCTCGGGGAGGGCGGAGGTTAATATGCTACAATCTGTCGGCTCACGATTAACGTCGTTTCTGCGAGGGCACAATACTCCGAGCCTGGACCAGCACTGCCTCAACCGGGTTTTTCTGGAAAGTCCCGCTTTTAGCTCAGCGCACGGACAGCTTTGTGATATCGTCAAGCGTATTGTGCACAAGCATCCTCACATGCATATACTTGAGCTTGGCGTAGAGAGTCGCCCGATGAGTATGGCCTCGAAGGCTCTGGGTGATGCATTTGCTTCCTATTGCTATACGTGCAGCTCTCAAGAGCTCGTTGATGCAGCAAAAATTGCCTGCAGTGATTGCACGGACAAAATCTCATTCAAGATTGCAGACCTCAAAGCGGACCTAATACATAAAGGCTTCGGTAATGCTAGCTATGACCTGGTGATCACGACTCTTTTGCATCTTGAAAATCCGGACACGAAACCATCTTTGCAAGAAATTAGGCGCCTCCTGAAGCCCGGAGGCTACCTTGTTCTCATGGAGATAACAGGTCAGATGGTGATGTCCCTGCTCATTTGTATGGGCATTTTCCCTGAGTGGTGGCATGGCAATGGGTCGAGGCAGCGAAGCTGGAAAGGCGTTTCGCCAATAAAGATCGATAGCCAGCTGCGCTCTGCAGGATTCTCGGGCATCAATACTGTGACCCACGGTGTGCCAGACAGTAAAGCAAGCTATCTTTCCGTCGTGGTCTCCCAAGCTGTGAACACTACTATGGACATGCTTCGTGAACCAATCAGGTTCATAGATCGGTTGCCTCTGCCGGAGAAAGTGATGCTCGTAGGAGGTAAGACTTGGGTAGGATCACGCTTGATTCAGGGTTTGACGCGAGAGTTCGCACAGTCCGGTGTGGCTGTTGGTCTTATGGAAGACATCCATGATTTTGATCCAGTCACTATGGAAGATGGCCTACCGGTCATTTCTATAACTGAGGTCGAGAAGACGCTATCTCTCAGTCAGGTAACGCATCGAAAATTGATGTCAGTGCACCGAATGTTCGAGCGCTCGAGATCCGTACTTTGGTTGTCATCCGCGATTCACAGTAGTTCCTCTTTTCACAATACCACTCTCGGTTTAGGTAGAGTGGTAATGGCTCAATATCCAGATGCTCGACTGCAGTTCTTGGCAGTCACCGAGCCAGGTGCACTCAGCCTGAATGTGGTTCTCGAGTCCTTCCTGCGCCTCTTGTGGTCTCGCCTTCCACAGTTTGCTGGAAAGAAGATGCTATGGACACACGAGCCAGAGGTTCGCTTCGACGGTTGCAGTTATTTGATTCCACGTTTGGTCCAGGACGGGGAAAGAGACCAAAGACACAGAAACAAGCTATTGAATCTCACTGAGGATGTTTATACTGATCAAGTTCCCATCGAGTTGCGTCTCACTGCTGCCAAAGAAACGGAATCAGTGCGCATACAGCGGTTCCTCAAACTCTCCTCTCGAGGCGCCGACACGATTACTATCAAGATGCAATATTCAATTCCACTTTCGTCACAGGGCTGCAAAAGACTGTTCATGTGGCTGGGAGCCACTCAGGACAAAAATACAACATGTATGGGCATCGGAGAGCACAACTCGTCAGTCCTTCGGGTCAGGCCAGACGAGGTTTACGTTGTGAATAAGAGAGATGAAATTACACCCGCGGCTCTACAGGCTATATCCAGCTTCCTCATTGCTGATCTCATTGCATCGGCCCTTCAACATCCAGGCTCCATTTTGATCTACGAGCCCAACGAAATCTTGGCCGCCGCGCTTCACACATGTACGCGCTGGTGTAGACGGGAGGTCTACTTTGTGACATCCACCAAACAAGATAAGGTGCGGAGCAGATGGATCGGGTTGCATCCTCAAGCGACCCGCCGGATGATTCAGCAAGCCCTGCCGACAGGTGTCTCATACCTCGTTGATTTGGCCTCAGGCTGGAGTGGCACCCTTAGGTCAAACATTCATAGCCTTTACAGCAACATCTTGCTAGGTTCGATGTGTATCGTGGGCGTGAAGTCTGCTGAGTCCAGGGAGCTCATCACTCGAGCTTACGCGGAAGCGAAAGCACATCCCTTGAACCTGTCTTCTTTTGCTCAGCGCACGTACGCGTTGAATGAGGTTGTCAACATGCCGGAGTCTGCCTATAGCCACCCAATTATCATCGACTGGACTGAACCGACCAAGGTTTCAATTCCGGCTGAGGGTCCCTGTTTTCCAGACCTTTTCTCTCCGGAGAAAAGTTACCTCATGGTTGAAATGACAGCCCCACTTGGGCTGTCTTTGATCTCCTGGATGGCGCGACACGGAGCCAGAAACTTTGTCCTCACAAGCAGGAACGGCCAAGTAGACCAGCAATGGGTCGAAAGCATCTCCAAATTTGGGATTTGCGTCAAATCGATGGCGATGAATGTTTCTCGGAGCGAGTCTGTGTCATTGGCCTACAACAAAATTTGCGCCACCATGCCCCAAATTGGTGGAGTTGCTTACGGGGCAATGAGTATCTCTGCTCAGGTATTCGAGGATGAGGCCGTTGACGACCTCGACATTGCTTTTGATATGAAGATCAAAGGATCAAGCTGTCTCGATCAGCTCTTCTCTAAGCCCACCCTGGAATTCTTCGTTCTGTTTTCATCGTTAGGGGGCGTAAAGGGCATCCCTGAGCAACCTTACCAAAATGCGGCCACACGCTTCATGTGTGATCTAGTGCAGAACCGTCGGGCTAAGGGCTTAGCAGCATCAATCATCCAGATGGGCATGGTTGTTGATGTGGGAGTCTGTGCTGGTCAAACTAGACGCAAGCTCGAGCACCTGATCAACCAGGGTTATTCAGCCTTGTCGGAGAGAGATATTCACCATGCCTTTGCGGAGGCCGTGACGGCTTCGGACGCGAAGTCGAAAGATGGCGCAGAGATTATTATCGGTTTCTCATCATTCATGCGACAATGCGACGATCAGGATGTTCCGCCATGGTGTTCGAATCCAGTTCTCTCCCATTTTACCTCCGGGGAGATGATCCAGGAGAAGCAGAAAGAGCCAGTTGCCGCAAATGTCACCATCAAAGAAAGACTCATAGAGTCCAAATGCGATGAAGAAGCTCGTGATTTGCTCTTGAGTTACTTATCCGGGCGATTACAGTCCGTGCTCCAGCTCGACGCGGAAAGCATGCGTACGGATGTTCCACTCCTCGATCTTGGGTGCGACTCGTTGGTAGCCGTTGAGACTGGTAGCTGGCTTGAGAAAGAAGTCGGAGTCGAGATACCAGCCGTTGATGTGTTGTACAATACCGCGGTTGCAGTCTGTACAAATGTTGTTGCACTACTCCTAGGGCAGAAGTTGCGAGACCATCAGAATCATCAGTCTAAACAGACTGCGGCAAGTACCATGACGGCCTCCGACCGATGCCTTAGCAGCCGAGACCGCGTCAGCTCGGCGACTTCAGAAAGCTCAACCGCCGCATGTTCTACATCAAAAGCAGAGTCTAACCTTGTTCTTACTCGAGGCTTTACACGCGTGGAGCTCATGTCTCCATATCAGTCTCTGATCTGGTTTGCAGGACATTATATGAAAGACCCGACGCAATATAATGTCGTGATATCCTACAATGTTGAGGGCTCCTTTCAGTTTGGAAGATTTCAACGAGCGCTAGAGCAGACTGTTGCAAGGCACGAATCCCTACGCACGGCATTCTTTATGGACCATGTTAGCGGCGAGCTCGTGCAAGGGGCTCTAGAAAGAGCGAGGCCCTTCTTTTATCATGTAAAGACATCGGATCCGGAAACCGTCTCCGAAGAATTTAAAAAGGCGGCGCTTTATAACTGGTCGTTGGAGGAAGGAGAGACCTTCCGAGTCACCGTGGTGTCAGTGGAACCTGGACGCCACACTGTGATATTCAGCTACCATCATATTATCATGGATGGGGTCAGCTGGTCCACCTTCCTCAGAGAAGTCAAAGGTTTTTACGAGATGAGACCCCCTACTTTCAATGCCACACAGTACATGGACTACTCCGTAATGCAGAATCAGGCTATTCAGAGTGGTGCATTCACTAAGGACATGGAGTACTGGAAGCGGAGACTCTCACCTTTGCCGGATGTGATGCCTCTACTTGGGCTTGCCAAGGTGAAATACCGAACCGCCACGGACAACTACAAAGCTCACACGACTACGCGTACGATCGGCCGAGAGCTTGCCGAAAGAGTTCGCAACTCGAGTCAAAGACTTCGGGGCACGGCATTCCATTTCTACTTGGCAACGCTCCAAATTCTCTTTGCGAAGCTATTGAGTATAGAGAATTTGTGCATCGGCATGAGCGATGCGAATCGAAAACATGAGCAGTACCTTAACACGGTTGGCTACTTTGTCAATCTGTTACCTCTACAGTTCCGCATTGCGCAGGGCGATAGCTTTGCTAGTGTGTTCAAGCGAACATCAGGCAATGTTCTCTCGGCGTTGTCGCACTCGTCGATGCCCTCGAATCTCGTCGTTGACCACTTAGACATCCCACGAACCTCGACGCACACGCCACTTTTCCAGATCGCCATAAACTACAGAGTAGGGGAGATCACGGAGATGTCTGTGGAGGATTTCAAATTGATCTACCAGCGCAGCGTCATGGGGAACGCACCGTACGACATGTCCTTTCACATCACCCCTACCGCGCTCGGCACCTGCATCTTAGATGTCACCTGTCGAGATTACCTCTACAGTCCCGAGGCTGCAGGGCAGGTCCTGGACATGTACACCAACCTGCTCGGTGGGTTTGCGTCAAACTCTTCCCTCTCAGTACAGCAGTGCGCCCTGTTTTCGAGCGATAGCGATGAAACGCATTTGTCCGTACGCCGGGGCACGCGGATCCGTCATCGATGGCCGGAGACGTTGTCGGCACGGTTCCGCACAATCTTAGACAGCTGTACCGACAGAACCGCAGTCATTGAGGAAAATGGAAGATACACCTACTCTTTCTTGGGCGCGCGCATGGGCTCCATAGCGAACGCTCTCATTGAGAGGAAGATCACTCCCGGGATGAAGGTCGCGGTTCTCTGTCAGCCATCCCTGGATTCGGTGGCGAGCCTGCTAGCGATTCTCCTCATCGACGCTGTCTATGTGCCTCTCGATCTTAGTAGCCCAATCTCGAGACATAGCGCCATTATAGAAGCCTCGGCGGCAAAAGTGATACTCTGCTCGACCACGACGCTCGAGTCCGCCTCCGCCCTTGGGGTGGCGACTATCATCAATGCGTCCGCGGCACCGGAGCACTCGGGCCCGACGGCAGATATCAGCCGTGATGGTACGTCTCCATCGGTCCTACTGTATACCAGCGGCTCCACAGGTAAGCCCAAAGGTGTTTTGCTCTCCCAAGTAGGCTTCATAAATTACCTTGCGGCAAAGGCCGAGGAACTGCACTTGGACAATAATGTCGTCGTCTTGCAGCAGAGCTCTGTGGGATTTGACATGGGGCTTGCGCAGACACTCAATGCAATCATGAATGGAGGGAAGCTCGTTGTCGTCCCACAGGCGGCGCGAGGAGACCCTATCGAAATTGCCAAGTTTGATCCGGCGGGAGAAGGTGACATTCACCCTTGCCACGCCGTCCGAGTACATGGTTATTCTCCAGCACGGACGTAAGTATCTCGAGGACTACACACTGTGGCGCCACGCCTGCCTCGGCGGCGAACCATTTACGGACCAATTGAAGCGAGAGTTGGTGCAACTGGGCCACCGGTGCCCCATTGTTCAGGATTCTTACGGTGTAACGGAAATCTCTGCTTGCACGACTTTCGAGACCATGAACGTGTCTCAGCTCGAGGAAGCACGCAGCGTTGGGAAGCCCATCCCCAACACTTCCGTATATATCCTAGATGATAACGGCAACCTAGTGGGAATCGGTGTGCCTGGCGAGATATGCATAGGGGGCGCTGGAATAGCCCTCGGGTACTTGGACGAGGAGCAGACGCGGCTGAAGTTCGTCGAGGATCGGCTTGCGACCGCAGAAGATGTTGCTCGACGGTGGACTCGCATGTACCGTACTGGCGACAAAGGACGCATGCTTCAAGATGGCTCGCTTATCCTTCTGGGTCGGATGGACGGAAATACGGAGATCAAACTCCGTGGTCTTCGAATTGACCTGGACGACGTGGGAGCTACATTGGTGAACTACTCTTCGGGCTTGATCTCGGCTGCTGTTGTTTGCGTCAAGGGCGATGGCGATTCCAAATACCTCGTGGCTTATGTTGCGATTGCCCCCGGCCGCACTAGTACCGACTCCGAGCTCCAACGTCTTGCGACTAGTCTTCCCCTGCCAAAATACATGTGCCCTGCTTTGGTCGTGCGCCTAGACAACTTACCACGGAATGCGAATGGTAAGGTCGATCGAAAAGCAATCGAGGCTTTGCCGGCTTTGAGTGCAAATGTACCATCGCAAGAGAACCGGCGTCTGACCTTGGGAGAGGGCGAGCTCAAGCTCCTTTGGCGGAGGATCCTGCCCAACAAACCTCCGATTCAGCCCGAGTCGGACTTTTTCATGCTCGGAGGGAATTCTCTGCTCCTGATCAAGCTTCAAGGTGCAATTCGCACTTCCATCGGGATTCATATCACTCTTCGCGAGCTGTATGCTGCAAGTACTCTATCCAGCATGGCGCTTAAGGTTGCCTCACGTAAGGCCGAGACCCCAACGGCAACGATCAACTGGTACGAGGAGACGGCTGTCCCGGAAGGAATACTCCAAGAGGCAAACTCGCCCCCGGAGCCGCGCCGCTCCAGAGACTCAGCAGGCATTGAGATCATTCTGACAGGGGCAACTGGGTTTCTTGGAAGGGCAATCCTACGCGCCCTGCTTCAGAAGTCCGAAGTCAACAAAATCCACTGCCTTTCTGTGGAGAAGGGACAGGATGATGTGCTTCCGTCTAGTAGTAGTGTTGGGGTCTACTATGGCAGCCTCCTCGATCCCACTCTGGGACTATCCACCGCCGAGTCGGACACACTGCAATCGTGTGTTGATGTGATCATCCACGCGGGGGCGCATGGACACTGTCTTAACACTTACAACTCCCTCCGAACGCCTAACCTGAGGTCCACGCACATCCTTGCGGGATTTGCGTGTCGAGCCCAAATCCCCTTGCACTACATCTCCTCCCCGCGTGTGATCCTTCAATCAGGCCAGACATCTCTGGGCCCTGTCTCCGTCGCGTCCCACCCGCCGCTCTCCAGCAGTTCCGAGGGATTTACAGCCACGAAATGGGCGAGCGAGGCGTTCCTGGAGCACCTCGCCGACCGAGCCGAATTGTCCGTCTACATCCACCGGCCATGCACTCCGATCGGTGACAATGCACCAGATCAGGACGCACTCAATTCCTTGCTTCATTTTTCGGACCGTCTCAGCGCCACTCCCCGACTAACCAACATGGGCGGGTTCCTCGATTTCCAGCAAGTTGAGGTCATTGCCGAGAGAATTGCCTCGGAGGTGACGTCATCGGTGTCGGACAGCACATCGCCTTCTTCATCCTCCTCGTTGTCGTCCGTCGTCCAGTTCCGCCATTATTCCGGGGGTGTCAGAGTTCAAGTCAAGAGCTTCAAGGAGTACATGGAGAAAGTCCACGGTCGCCCGTTCGCGGAGCTAAGGCTGCCAGAATGGTCGGCCAAGGCGATGGAGTTGGGGATGGAGCCGTTGATTCCGGCCTTCTTGGAGGCGGTGGCTGAGAGCTCGGAGACGATGTATTTCCCTTTCCTTGGCGAGGATTGTGAGGAGTAGCTGTCAAGGAAAAACGATTGCTTCTTTGCTGAATGTTAACATGAGGGGGATTGGAAGCCGCGGGAGACTGTACTGTACTTGGTTGATGGTGGTGGTATGGATTGTGATTGTCAGGTGATGGGAGGAACTCTGTGATTTTGCAATGGAAGCACCTGCTAAAAGTATAAGCTATGTATGTGCTAGGAATTACTATGCGGAGTACACCGGGGGAGTGCGAGTGAGAAGAAGTCTGTACGTGGCCTACAGTACGAAAACATTGGGGTTGTGCTTAATTGCTGAGTACTTGGTGACATAAGCGTGAACATTCACGTTAACTAACCTATGCTAAAGGCATAAACTAGGTAAGCGCAAGCCGTCCCTGTGATTTACTATCCATATATGCAACCATATATTGTTTGATCTCCTTGCTCAATCCAGAACTCTTCTCTTGTTCGTAATCCGTCCCTCGTCTTATCGTACCCTTCTTCTAACTATCCATCTCCATCTCGACAGCGTGGGTTGTGCGCGACATACAGTACCTGCCTGCCCGAGCGCCAGCCAACCACTCGATCGTGTATCGCAGCAGTGTCTACAGAATGAATACCCGGGCGCAGACGATCCCAATGTACAGTACGTTTTCACGCTGGACCATATCAACACATGGCCGATGACCCGGGTGAGATCGACAGATCTGCTGAGAGATGTCGTACAGTTTCTGCTGACGAGACTTGCAACACACTCTCCACCCGCGTGACTGGTTCGCCCTTCGCCTACAGTGGACGGTAGGGCGCCAGGAACGAACAGAAGAATCGCAATTCCGGGGAACCCCGTCGTGCCAGACCACTCGGAGATTCGCAGTCCACCCAGCATTCACATACTCCACTTCAGTAATACGAACGTCCAGCACAGCCAGGAGCCCAGAATTAACGTCATGCAGGGATCAATCGCCTTGTTTGTACTGCAGATGCGTCGGTAGAAGAGCAGTACTGATAGCTGAGCTTGATGAGCGAGGCCGTTCCAAGGGAGATGAGGACGTACAGTACGAAGAAGATAACACTTCGCTATGCTCATGTCGGGTGTGAGGATCCTTTATGCTTGGTTTTCGAGACCATGAGATAGTGTAATTTCCCGAGATTGGGGGTGCTTAGGAAGGTTCGCCACTTTGGGGATTGATTGTCTTGGATTAACATCCCAACGATTGCACAGACAATGGTCGGTGACCCCTTACTGTACTGTAATGTACCTTTGGAGTATCGAGAGAGTCCGATCATCTCAAGGATATAGTTCTTGAAGCGATTTATACCAGTGATGCCAAGATCACCCAGTTATACTGCCGCGATCAAGGTGCCCTGCCTTTCCTTAGTACAATACCTAGTAACGTTAACAACTTAGGTGTGAGCAGTGGCCGCCCTACGCAGTGTGTAATGTTTTTGATAGGGTGCGGCAGTCTGTCCGGACGGCGGCAGAGCGGCCTCGAACCTCAGGCGGGAAGCTAGGTTCAAGGTTGTCAATCGTACAGGACAGCACAGCAAAGTACAAACCCGCTGTTTCTCGCCTCATGGCTGGCTGTAAGAATCCTCCGCTCGGGGAGATCTGACATGTCGATGGAGCCCTTTCCACCTGTCCGATCATTTCATTCGGCAATGTGAACTCTGCAGTGGCGTTTGGCATACTTGCCAGATTGTTATCGATCTGTCTCGCCTGTAGCCCCCCCTCCCCCCCGGTGTTTCCGCGACGGACTCTATGCATGCAGGGGTCAAACTCTTGCTGCGCGCTCCCGCCCCCCGACCATAATTAACTCGAAGCCCAGCAACAGCCCAGCCCAGTATGAAGGTTCGACACAATTCAATCAGTCGTCAAAGCTGGAATGTGGTCCATTGACGGAAAAGAAGAAATTCTTCGAATTGACCTTGAGCAACGAAACTTTTTGCTAATGGGGAGTTGCACTGGAATCGAGCAGAGGTTGCTGACCTGGTGTACGATTAGAACTAGCCCTGAGATCGATCGAACAAGACGGCAAGACTGTATGGAGAATGAATCCTTAACCTTTTATGCAGCATGATACAAACAGCATCATTGGTCTAGTGGTAGAATTCATCGTTGCCATCGATGAGGCCCGTGTTCGATTCACGGATGATGCATTCTATTATGATTTTTACTTCTGTATCCTACTTTGAGTGCTTGGAATGTACGGCTGCAGCGCCGTCTCATTTTGTCTTTATCTGTATTCAGATTACAGGGCTTCCGGATACCGAAGTCACTACCTACAGCAGCCCCAAGATGAAACCAAGCTAAACATAACCTGGAAGCCGGACGGAACAACAATGCTCCGCAAGGTTACAGCATACTGTGATAACATGTACTGTGTACGGTAATCTAAAGAAACATCTAGACTTGTATAAGTGGCAAACTGGCCTTGATAACTAGTAATCTAGAAATCACGGGACGGTCGTACCAAATAATAGTATAGAGGCGTTGCTTATCCCAGGCCCGTCTTTTATAAAGACATTAGAAAATAAGGGACTGGAGTAGAGTACACAGATACTCTCCTATTAAAAATCAAATCTTATGATTGGAACGCGCCCACTATTTAACCCAAGGGCAAGTATAGTATCCTTAATAGCAAAACACATAAAATGACGATAGTCAGGAGGAAGCCACAGGGCCCTTTCACCTCGTAGATAGACCCAAGAATCCGCGACAGAGATAGAATAACTGGAAGTAAATTGCTCTATGACCGAGCCGCCGTCCGGTGAGAAGGCCACCGACCTGACCCAGCCGGAGTGGCCGGTCAGCGTACGCTGCTCGACGCCCGTGGCCGTGTCCCAGAGCTTAATGGTCTGGTCGA